TTCACAAGTTCCACTCCACACATTTCCTATTTAAGCAACAGACTCTTGAAGTTCAGCACAGCATCCCTCGAGTTATGACAAGGTGATATTCCTAAACAGTTGTCCGTAACTTGAAACACATTTTTCCATTGACTTCCATTAACTAGAGATGCATTCCAGTAGACAACCCCCTTAAATATGGAAGAAGAATTCCCAAGACTCATTTTATGTACAGTACTACAATAATAATAATAAAAAAAAGTGTAGTCACTAAAAAAAACTGACTCCTGTTGTCTCGGTAGGGTTGTCAAAATCCTCCATCTGTTGCGCCATATTTTCTTAACACAATTTTGTAAATATTGATTTTTTGAACAACTGTATACGTTACATACAGTAATGAAATTATTTAAATTTTTAATAATAAGAGGATGGTTCTTGAAAACACAACTCATACTTAGGTTTGGTTTGGTGCCTCTTTTTAGCGTTAAAGGCATTGAAATGTAAGAAAATATTCTGTTGTAAAATCAAACAGAATCGCTTAAACAGGAAATATTATTCATCACTTCATTTATTAGTTTAGATAAGAGACTGTAAGCTAATTGGTATGACTGCAGGAGGTGGTTGGTGCTACTAATAGTGGGAATATTTTCACCTTTCCAATTTCTGGCCATGCATATAATTAAATTAATATCACTTGCACACCGCCTTATTTATAACAAGTGTCCCTCCAACGCACGGACTAGTTGTGACCTTGCACAGAAGTCACAATGTATCAATTTTTTTCTCCAGATAGGATTTTTGGCAACCAGTTCTTTATATGTTTATACATACAATTGATTGCTTTAAAACAAGAAACAAGAAAAGTGAAAAAGAAGAAATAATTTTGAGGATGTGAAGTAATGCATTAGTTTTAGAATTTGGCTGTAAGCAATTTTAGAAAAAAAATAAACAATTCTATCCATACATTGTGTACTGTTCTGTTATACTGGATGGTAACATATTATACTTTATATAAGTCAAAATATCCTGAAATATAACAGCAGCCACTTTATAAACACTTATAAAACACTTCACAACACTTTTCATCACTTTTACAGATACTGTACTGTCAGTAGCAGAGATGTTTATTGAATCCACAAAAGGGAATTTATTATGTAGTTCACACATGTGAAATCATACAAGTTTGAACATGTGAAATATCATAAAATAAACAAATACAATTTTAAAAACACTCATATGGAGACTTATAAAACATTTCACAACCTTTTCATCACCTTTACAGATAGCTCAGATGTTTATCATATCTACAGAAGGGTATTAAGGCACATTTTACACACATGATGGTTGCAAAGTTGAATACTATACATAAAATATGGAAAAATAAATAAATACTTTGTAAACACTTCCCAGACTAATAATACTGAACAATGGATGACAAAAATGTGTGGCAGTGGATATAAAGATAAAATTTAAAGGGCTCACTCACTCAACACTGATGTCTCATAGGCAGTGTGCTATGGAATGTTGCCAAGTAACAAATTAGTGATGGATTACCAGAGAGAGTAGGCCTACCAGAATGACATGCCAAAATCTCAAGCATCAATCGAAATTACTAAATTTTTTGGAAAAATTTATCTTGAACGACGCATTGGGGCGTGCCAATTGAACAAGATTATCATTGACGTCTATATGTGTCATGGTGTGTGACGGTGTTAATGGTTAGCATTGTAACCAGAAATACATGTAATAAGTGGGTCATGAAATGCCCAGTTGGACCATAGCAAATTTCACCATTTGTAAAACATTAAACCCGTACAAAACAAACAACTACCTCCCAACAACAACTAAAAGATACAAAAGCAACACTATTCTAAGTACAGTATGTACTGTACATTCCCCTAAGACTTAATAAAATGCCAATACAAATATTTTTAGGTCATACATTGTTCAAATGATAGAAATTTTGTTCAACAGAATAGAAACTGAACTGTCACAGAGGCAGGAAGGAGGCACAAATTCTTAGTTAGCAAACATTTAGGTTTCATTATGTTAGTATTATATTTACCGTAGATACTGCACTAAAAAACACAAGTTACATCTACAGCAAATCTGTACAGTATACTGTACTGTATATGAAATACATTTTCAGGGATGAAAATTTTGCATAGCAGCATGTGACAGAAAATATCAAGTTGGTGTATAACTATCTTTTTTCTCCTGTAGCCATAATTTTTTTAAAAAGAAGGTCAAGTCAAATTAAAAGTGTCAGTATTCATTCAGCTGTTAAAGTTATGATTGTTACTCATTGCACTAAGATATCCACACTAAACACTCAGGTGCACGCTGATTGATGACGTTGCACACAAAATGAGACACTACAAAGGAACAGTGATGGCTGTCGGCATTCTTCGCCATTGTCATCAAAATTTTAAGTTTCTTCCAAAAGCTAAAGGATGTTTCCTAATAATAATAAGAAGATAAATATTGCAGGTATGACATTAATAGATACTGTAATAATGCTTCTAAGAGTTCAGAAACAGTTACTGCTTAACTCTAAAGAGTTGGGTGCCAGCTGTACAGATGCTAATCATCTCAGGTTATCATCATCAGTGGTTATAAATACAGTTTTTATATCTAAAATAATTATTTTTTTAATTAATTAAATGTAATAATAATGTGTTTAAGTAAACAATAACATATTTTTAGTTCTGCAGTTGGGGGATTCATTAGCCTTGGGGAGATAGCAACATATATAGCCATTTTTCTTAAGAAAAAAAGAGTGTCTTATATGCCATAATACAGTATATGGTAACCCATAAACAGCAACCATCATCAGTGGATGTTAGCTTTAGGGATTATGGTCTATATCAATATATGTTCCATGTGCCCTTCGTTTTATTTTTTGCCCATAATGTATTAGGAAATCCGTAGCTGCCAATTAGAGGTTAAGCATCATTAGAGCATACAGTTAATTTATGTGTCCTATTGTAAAAATAAATTTAATAAATATCAAGTAGAAAATCATCATTTCTCACTAATATTGTTACTACAAGCCAAACTCCTGTAATCTGGAACTCTTGGATCCTAGTTGGTGCTGGACTATAAGTCGGCTAAATTCTGGTGAAAAAGTTTCTCTGCTCTACCGAAATATGAAACATAATTCGTGAAGACAGTGAAGACAAATCTCCCTACCAGTGAAATGTATACAGTACCAAAATATAATACAGTTTCTTAATATCTGAAGGATTTGCATTGGAAATATTAATGTATGATATTTAATAGTTTTTAAATGAAATGTGCTTGGGAGGGAATATTAATGAGTGTACCTTATGAAAGCCACACTACACATCCTACATAAACAGAGGTAGCAATTGTCTCTCACTACTGCATTGTGGGTTCAGTCCCACAGTCTGATGTGAGAAGACAGTTATCCAGTGTTACACCACCAAACATTGCAGGTTTTCTCTGGGCATCCTGGTTTCCTCCTGAACAATGAAGGTTATAATAAAAACAGACCAACTGCTCAATCAGTAAACTGACAAGTCAAGGGAGGGGGCAGGGGGATGTAATTTATATATAAATACATGTATCTTAATATCTGGAGGGATTGCATTGAAAAGGATAAATCATAAAATACAGGACTGTATTGTAATGTACTCTATATAATTTTTTATAATAAAATATGGTTAGAGGGAAAACTGTAATCTTGTTGTTCAAGTTACATTAGCCTGACATGGCTTATTGCAGTATTACCATCACTTCTGCCAAGTGTGGACTCTTTGAAGCCATACTGCATTTGGTAAAGTACTAGAGTTAAACAAAAGCACCGAACACTGAGAGGACATTCTGACAGATGTAAACAAACTTTGTAAGTGTGCAGTGAACAAGGGCACCACCCTCACCATGCAGTCTCATGAGCAAAGTCCACCTCAAGTGTATATAAGTTACTTTTATAATAGTACACTATCTTAATTATAGTTACATCTGTGTGTGTGAATTTTTATCTACAAAACACATTCTTAAGATTCTCTAAGCTTTGTTCGCCAAAAACAGAGAGCTTGTAATGTATCTAAATAAAGGAGTTTAAATTACTACCCAATAATAAGCACAGGACTAAATGGCCTCACAGCTGAGCCTACAAGCACTCACGAGAGAGACAGCTTGTAATCAATAAAAGCTTTCAATAAACTTAAGGATGACCTGATGAGCAATGGCTTGAGCTGATACACATACACATCAACAGGCATTTATTTGGGTGATACTGTATACAAACAAATCATTAACAACTGCACAGTGAATAAACAATAAAGAAAATTGACCACAAACACCACATACTGTATCTCATATATATATATATATATATATATATATATATATATATATATAATGTGGTAAAAACCTATCCCACTGATAAGTTACAAATGGAAATATATATTATTTTAAATTCATGATGAATACCTTAACATGCCAACAAGTGCTGATAGAAAGGCAGTGAGGTGGGTAAATGTACAATATATTTTGTGGTCTGATTTCCAAGTTTATAACTGAGGGGCCTGAGCCAAGCAAACAAGTTTAGAGTCTGTGTAAGTGTATTTGCTGACTCACTGATATTTATAGGAACCATGGGATAAGTACTGGTGATTGCTTCAGAACCCAAAACCCTGGCTCAATGAGGAGAATGGCTGTTTGTGGTATTTATACTGACTGAACAGTAGTGACCTGTCACCTTGCCTAAGAAAGCATACAGACTCTCGAGCAAAGTAGGCTCTGCCAAAGGGTGTCCATAGTTGGATAATCTGAAGTCACTTCACAATGGCCTACAATAGAGGCCACATAATACGTAAAACTCAAGTTCACTGCAACTTTCACCTGCACAATTCTTGAACAACACAACAATTACTTACAATTTAACTAACCATAATATGCCAACCTAATTTCAGAAATCACCATCTCTAGACACCACTTGACAGAATGAATACCTTTAAACAATCCTATAGTCTTTCTTGTTAATTGTAACTCACGTGGTGCTGCAGGTTCAGGCAACCAGGCAAGGTTACTCAGCACATGCCCTTAGTAATGCCATCCATGTACTGGGAATTTTGGGATTAAACAATCAAGTGACTGGTGACTGTATCCATAACTCCTGTTATCTGCACGGAACACGACTGGTGATTGTATCCATACTTCCTGTTATCCTCACGGAACACTTTGCCGCTCTATGACACCGTGAAGTAGTCATCTGCAGCGAAGGGGTTATGAGATCCATCCCCTCTGCAATAAAGCTTTCATTGAAAAGGTGAAAACAATAAAGTCCCTACTACAGTACTGTATTTCATTAATGACTTATATCTGAAGAAAATACTGATGGCTCTTATGCAAGGTGTAATAACTTGCTTTCAAACAGCATTTTCGAGCAGAGCAAGAGATTTCAAGGAGCTGTCTACAGTATTGTGGAGTGTGTTCCAGAGGGTGACACTTTATTCTCAATCACATAGGCATACAGTATGTATTTTCAAGAGTCAAATAAATCAATATACAGTAGTGAGTATGAAATGTATAGGTTATAGAAACATTGATCACATAGAACACTCTCAAATGACACCATGCCTTCATCTTGTCCAGGGTACTACTATAGTATATACTGTAACATATATGCTGCATGACAATAACAATATAAAAATAAAATAATACAGTAGTAGATATTTTATCCTGTAGTTCATTTCCCTGCAGTTAAGGAGGTGGTAACCACCAGGTGAAGTTTAGCATAGACCAGGTGTTTACATGACTGGACACCAACCCAGCAACAGAATAGTCCACCAACCCTGCCTGATCACAACACTGAATGCATCTCATTTATTATTCAGGCCATAATAGAAGATCCTTACTATCTCAAACAGTCTAACAAGAATAAAGGGTTAAGCTGACAGCCAATCTTAATAAAGTACAGTAATGTGACCACGTTCTTCCAATCAAGAGTAATACAATACAGCCATTTATAGCTTTTTGAGCTGAGGAAAATTAAATTGAATAAATCAAATTTTTTCCCAAATGAAATTTAAATCAATGAAGTGTATGAAACATGAAATTCTAACTAATTTTTTTTCCTGGAATGTAAAAATCTTTCTGGAACAAGAGCACTTGTTATGATATGAGTAATAAAGTAAATTTTGCCTCTTAGGAAATTGAACAATGACAGTTCTGTAAGTGAGGGTAATGAGAATGAGCAATGTAATAAAATGGACTATTGTAAATATAAGAGCTTAATGGTGATAGGCAATAAAATTTACATGCTGATACAAAATAAAATTACAGGAGAAGGAGGAAGAGGTTAGAGATATTGTCCTAAGAGACCTTGAAGGAGTGACTATGCTGTTACATGGTCATATTTTCAGAACAAAATCAAGGTCCTCTGCAAATGAAAACAGCTCAAACACTATAAAAGGCTCCTGTCAAACAGTCACCAATGACAGTCATCATAAAAAGGTTCATGCAAAATTATCGTCATACTATCACACAAAAATTTACGTCCCAGCTTATTTCACTGTAAGATTAACCACCCCAACACTAACCTATCCTCTTAGGCAGAATTAGGGTTTTTAATCATCAGGTGAAATGTATAAGCTGGGGTGATTTATCTCCATGTGATCCAAGTTATGTTTTGATCAGCTGTTGATAATGTAGATGAAAACTAAGAAAAGTACCAATAAACTTGAAATATTTTGGCTTTAAAATTTACTTATCGCTAAAAACAGCAGGTACTAGAGCAGCAATTAATAGGGTTGTTAAATTAACTTTTTAAATTACTTTTGTTGGAGCTTTCAGGCATAATTGTGATAATGTTTTTGAACAACCTCAAAACAAAATCTGACTTAGCTGGAATTCTGCACAGGTACAGTATTTCACTTCATTTTAAAACCCAGTTTCTCTACACCTGTCAGTCTCCTAGCTTTTCTTAGTCCCCACCCAAAAAGTTCATGAAAATCAAAATAATGAAATTAAAATTGGAACATACTAACAAGCTATCTGCCTTAAGTATGATAAAACTTTTCACATTTACATCACATATGACACTTTTCTCCTTGAACTCGTCACCACCACTTCACCAGTGTTCAGGACAACCACCCAGTAAAAGAAAATGATTGGAACAAATAATACATCTTTCTCATCCTTGGTACAGTATTATCTTTGCATACACATGTTTTACAAAAATACTAAATGTTAAAGTACCCTAACAGTTTGTATTATACAGTACAGTAAACATACAAGCCAATCTTGTTTCATATTGGCTGCACAACACTTACCAGTACATTTTAAACAGTACAGTACAGTACATACAGTACAGCACAGTATACTCTATATGGTTATTCTCAGGTAAAATATGAAATACAAAACAAACATCACAATTTTCAAATTTGTCCTTGTTGGCAACTACAGTACTCTGTACAGTACTATACAGTATTGTCCATTCACATGTTCAGAGGTCTTATAGCTACACTGATATTGATACCATAGATTAAACAATATGATTCACTATTTACGGCATTACAATACAGTACAGCAATATATATAGTACAGACTATCACTTTCAATATTTGCAGGCATACGGTATGTTGTTATTACACTGATCTTTCCTTATACAGTATTAGTTATGTCTAAATACTGGACACAGCCTCCCCTTGATTCACATGGTTCCCTCCAGTTACAAAACCTGGGTGAACCTCTGGTTACTACAGTAAAAATAAATATGTTTACATTTATGCTGTGACTGATAAAAACTGACAAAATGATAAACCGGTCAGCAAAATGTCCAACATTTCCTGATGATGATGACACCATAACATTAAACTTGGTACAGTATACTGTAGCTTTGTACAAAGAAATGTATATTCCCTTTATGTGTTTGCCCTTAGGACAATTATTTCTTTTACCTGTAAAACAAACAAACAAACACACACACACAAACAAACAAACAAACACACACACACACACACACTCCAGGTTGTAGATTCCACGAAGCTTCTCGGCGTCACCATAGACAACAAACTAAATTGGAAACCACACGTCAGTGAAGTTGTCAAATCCTCCAGTTTCCGTCTCCACCTCCTCCGCCGACTCAAGTCCCTCGGAGTTCCTGCACCCGAGCTCCTCAGTGTTTACACAACATTCATACTTCCCAAGCTCACCTATGCCTCCCCACCTGGTCTTCCTCCCTAAATGCCACACAACGTAAACACCTAGAAAAAGTGCAAAAGAGGGCATGCAAGATTATTCTCTCCCCTTCCTACTCCACATATCAAGAAGCGCTCAACACACTGACCCTTTCGACTCACACTGACCATCACCACGACCTCATCTGCAAATTTGGTAAGAAGCTTCTACACCATCCTCGACACCGGCTCCTACTACCACCTGAGATCCCTAGCCCGAGAATTGCTGTTCGACACCACAACCGCATCCAGCCCATACGTGCACGAACTGATCGCTATAAGAACAGCCCAGTCCCAACCATTGTAAAAATTATCAATAACTTGTAATAAACCAGAGTATTCATTCCCAGTAAATACTACTTCTTGCACTGTCACTATGTTGAAATGCACTGTAGTTTGAGCTTTTCCCCATCTAGTTATTATATATCTTATTTGTATCACTTATGTTACTTGTATATTATTTGTAATTCGAAACCCATTCCCCAAATATGTAACTGTATATTTTCAGCCATCTGGCTGCCAAGCTCTTTCAATAAACCGTTAATTATTATTATTATTACACACAAACACACACACACAAATAATACAGGGGCCCCACAAATTCGCCGATTTTTTATTTTGCGGTCCTCTATTGTTCGCGGATGACACTCTGAATGTACCCAAGAATGTCTATGGGTGGTTTTAAAGTTGCCGTCATTTTTGCGGCTGGGACAGGGAGCCATTCGTTCTAGAGACAGTAATTTCCTTTACCTGTATTGTAAATATGTATGTGTGTGTGTAGACACACACAAAACACATACAAATAAATAATATTGGGAGAATTCCCTCACAAATAATCAGAAACAAATTTATTAAAAATGTGACAATTTACCCTCAAGTCCACTCGGTGCCTTGTTATTAATAAAGCACGGAGTAGACTTGAAGGGTAGACTCAACATTTTTAATACTACATTTGCTTCTGATTATTTGTGAGAGGATCTTTCCCATTTTATTTACAGTACTGTATTTGTATGTGTTTTGTGTGTGTGTCTCTACACACACACACATATATACAATACAGATAAAGGAAATTACTGTCTCTAGAAGAAATGGCTCCCTGTCCCAGCTGCAAAAATGCCAGCAACTTTAAAACTACCCTTAGACATTCTTGGGTACATCCAGGGTGTCTGCCGTGAATAACTCAGGTGCTCGAATTAAAAATCCGCAAATTTGAAGAGCATGCTGTACATATGTTTGTAAACAGCTCTTTTCTGTAAAGAACATTAACAAATCTTGGCTTCATTCTCAACTTACTGATGCGCACCTGAATTCAATACTGAAGGTTGCTGCAGCTCAGTCATTAGCTCCGAACTTTGACGCATTTGTCCATACCAAGAGATGCCAAGTATCATGGAGTAGCAGGCAATAAGACTAATCAAGGTAACTATATACTGTATTTTACAACACATGACACAGTGTTTTTTTTTTTTTTTAAGAGCTGTGCACTCGCCCTTAGGCAGGGGGCTTGTCCCTCACTCTCATGTAAACTAAGACCTCACCCCTAAGCCGCCAGCACCTCTAGTCCTGTTCCTGTATCCACCTCCCTTATTTTGCCGCACTACTCCCCAAAGAGGCGATTGCGAAGTGCTCATAATTATGTTACATGGCCAGCATAGTGTGTACTCATATTAAATCTGGCTCGCCGTAGCAAATGCGTTTGAAACCCCCTGATCTTGGCGGTCAAGAACCTTTGAGTTATTCTCTCGTCTAGACAGCATTAAGCTAATTTTCCATCAAGAGTGTTTAAGACCTGTAAACTATCATTAGTGCTACTCTTCTGTCTAGACACTTGAACATTTAACAGTGATCCTTTATAGTGTTAGTTATAGAAAAAATGAAAAAATTAACTTGTTACTTTTTGCTACTGGACACAAATTCTTAAGTGCCTGGTAAAGTTTACACTTACGTAGCTACGCATGCTTAACAACGACTGTATTCTGTATAACTAGCTGAGTTACCTGGCTTCTCCCAGGTGGAGGGACAGGAGATAGTGTATCATCATCCCCACATCTACCCACACCTTCC